TTCGAACGAGTCATCGAAAAGATTCAGTTCATACGAGTGATTCGTTCGCGAATTAGACGTCACATGTGACGTCACGCTCACTCTTCTTCGCTGGTTTGCGGCAGCGCTATAAATGCTGGCGCGCTTAGTGTGCGCGCTCTCTCAATGTTGCGGTGGAAGTGCGCTAGCGCGTACAAAAATGAGAAAGTCAGGCGGTCCCAAGAAGGTAAGTTTTGCTAAAATAACAAATTGTTGCGTACGGTTTGTAGAATAAGTGTTTCAACCTGGTCCAAATCAATCCGAAGACGTCTGCTTCGAAATGTTTGATACTAACTAGCGCGTGGGTTTTGGCACGCGGCTGGTTCCTTGGCATGTTGGTTGTTGTTGCTGCAGAAATAAAAACACTTTAAAACAGACAAGTCACTCTAATCCCGTGGTCCATGTCAGGAAACTGTTCGTTGTTGATATTTGTAGTCGAAGTGCCCGTATGTAACGTGACCTTATACAGACGGCGCTGCTGCCGCTGTAGCACAGTGTTTATATGCGCTGGTCTCTTGTTTTAGGTGGCTGAATGTGCTCTGAATCCACTCCAGATGAGGACTCTCCAGCTGCTGTAGCTCCGCTGTAAGTATGAGGTTTCTCTCGGTTTCGGTCACCCAGCGGTAGTCAGCTGTGCAGGCCAGCCCGTGCCTGAGCTAGTGTTACTCTGCTGGAAGAGAAAGGTGCTGTGTTTGTGCTTCATCAGGTTTGGCTGTTTTAGTGAAGCCTGCTGTGCAGCACAGGTCCAGCCGAGCCCTCTGAGAGTGGTCTGTGCTCACACAGTGAGGCAGGCCTAGTCTGGGGGCGAACACTCAAGTCAAGTGTTTCTTGTAGCTGCAGGCTTCAGTTTCTTACATGCTTTTTTTGCTGACATCACTAAATTCAACCTTTCATTAATAAATTCATCCATTTCATGAGCCATTTATTGTCCCAGTCAACAACATGCAGTTTTTTTTTTTTTTGCTAATCGTGTCACATTAGGCAAGTAAAATGGGTTGTTGTTAATGCTATTTCATGTTGGTTGATATTGGTCACATTACTTTGACCTGATTGTTAAATGTGTATTTTTTACTGACTTTACAGGATGAGGTAAATGAGGAGGGAAGTTTGAAAGGTCCATCGAGATCATCCTATTGTGGGTAAGCTTTAATCATAACTTCAGTGTCGTGATCCAAGTCGATACCATCATAGCAGAAGTGTTTCTCTGTGATGTCTGTTAATCTTGGAATAGCAAATGCAGGGTTGGCACTGATTTTTGTTGAGACGGTCTGCAAAAATCTGACAAAGAAGCCTGCTACACTTTATTCATTTACACTACAATTTACTGTTGAATGTCATTAGTTTGACACCTCTTTCTGTTGTTGTAGGAAAGATGTGTGAAGATCTTCAGAAATCAAGTTTTCTGTTCCTGCCCTTTTTTAATGTTAAAAGTGATCGGTGCTCCGTTAACAGTTTACATTTTTTTTTAAATGTATTGTACGTTGTTACAAATATATAAAATCTACAATTATAAACTTAGCCCACTTCCTTTAGTGGAAATTCCTAGAACAGGGTTGTTTTGTGTTCCTGGAGAGCCACTTTCCTAAAATGTAAAAGTTTGTCAGATTGCTGCTTTGTCATTATGGGAATGGCATGTAGATTGACATGAAAATATCAGGGATTTTAGCATAAGGCTGCAACAAAATGTGAAAAATGAAGAGGATCTGAATGCACTATTTAGGAGGTGTCCGTTCCTGCTTCAGCAGTTTAGCTCTAGCCCCAGATAAACATGCCTGAAGCCAGGTGATCTGCATCACTAGTCTTTCAGGCGTGCTGGCGCTAAACTGCAGGAAAGCGGTCCTCCAGGATCAAGATTGGACGTCCTGCTCTAGCATTATTTGAGCATGAGGCTGCTATACGAAGACGATGAATGATATTTCTGAAATGGTACAATGTTTGATTTGTCTCATTTGGTTCTGTTATTTTCAAACACTGGACAATAAAAAAAATTATGAATAAAGTTTTAATTTGTCTGAATACCTGCAACTAGGTTTTAAAACTTGCCCTGAAGGTCCCCCCAGGTTTTTAAAGATGGTGGTTTTTTTGTTTTAAATGAACCCACTAAAAAGTGTACTACCTGGCCTCTCCTGTATCATCCTGCCTGCCAGGCCTCAGGCTTGAGTAATGGTGAAGTGAATGTCTCCCTCTACTGGATTTCTAGTGTAACGAAAGGAAAATGGGAGAGGATGGCTATGCATGTTCATATTTGCTCTGCATTAGTCACTGCTTAGTGTAGTATGGTTTTCACCTATTGATTGTGTTTCTGGACAATTAGTCCTTTAACCTTAACTGACTGTACGTACTCGATATGCCTGTTTGATCCGCTGTACTGTGATCCATATTTAACCCTCTAAACTCTAAAAATAGATCTGTCCAAAATTCATTAGATTTTTTTTTTTATTCAGTTGTATTTGTGTAACTGCATTTATGCCACCTCTGAGCAACATGAAACTGTAAAGACATCTAAATGCCACATCAACGCTATTCGTATGCCACCTGGGCAGTCTAAACGTGGCATGGCTTTGAGTTGGAGGGAGTGGTGTGGTCCCATGCATCGGAGTCTCTTGGGGAAACCTTATGTAACAGACTCAGTGAAAAATTTAAGCTTTTCAATGAGATAAAAATGGTGCCGGATTTTTTTTTATTTTTTATTGAATGTCTCAGGAGATGTATTAATATCTAACAAATATAAAGCTATTAAGTTTATCTTAAGAAGCTGTGTTTTACTCCAGTGGATCAAGATCAAGTCTCCGCTGTGAGTCAGGGACATTTAAAAAAGCACAATAATGTTTTCTTCGCGTTGGTAGATACAGAAAGGGTTATAAATATTGCTGATATTCCTTGAGAAGCCCCTTAAAATGTTGTTTATTATTGTAGAATTTGCACTTGTGTACACTACCAGTCAAAAGTTTTTGAACAGTAAGATTTCTAATGTTTGTTTTTTTTAAAGTCTCTTCTGCTCACCAAGCCTGCATTTCTTTTATCCAAAATACAGCAAAATCAGTAATACTGTGAAATATTTTTACTATTTTAACTGCTTTCTTTCTATTTGAATATATATTTAAAACAGTTGAGTAGAATTTTTCCAGGATTCTTTGATGAATAGAAAGTTCAGAAGAACAGCATTTATATCTGAAATAGAACTCTTTTGTAACATTATAAATGTCTTTATCATCACTTTTGATCAATTTAAAGCATCCTTTTACATGCTAAATAAAAGTATTAATTTCTATTAAAAAAAATTATACTGACTCCAAGCTTTTGAAAGGTATAGATAATGTTACTAAAGCTTTTTATGTCAGATAAATGCTGATCTTTGTATCTTTCTATTCATCAAAGAATCCTGAAAAAAGTTACTCAACCCTTTTAAATATTGATAATAATAATAATAATCAGAAATGTTTCTTGAGCAGTAAATCAGCATATTAGAATGATTTCTGAAGATCATGTGACACTGAAGACTGCAGTAATGATGCTGGAAATACAGCTTTGATCACAGAAATAAATTACATTTTAAAGTATATTCAAATAGAAAGCAGTTATTTTAAATAGTAAAAATATTTCACAATATTACTGATTTTGCTGTATTTTGGATCAAATAAATGCAGGCTTGATGAGCAGAAGGGAATTCTTTAAAAAACCTAACAAATCTTGGCAGTGCATGTATATCATCGCTAGTTCAGATATATCAAAGTCGTTTGTGATGACTGAGTAAGGAGTTACTGCAGAGTCTAAAAAACACAACTCTGAAATGATTAGATTTAACCGATTAAACAAAACAAACAGGGCTCAGCTGGCGCCTCTCAGAGGAAAAGCAACTTTCTTAGTTCATTTCGCAAATCACACAGAATGTCGTACATTCAAATAAGACACGATGTAAACGATTATACAAAGTATAAATCAAAACCGCATAAATCAGTACTCCGTCTCACGCACAGATAGCTGGGGCCCGGTGGACGCGGCCCCGAAGTCACGTGATGAGCTGCAGTCACGTGGCTGCGTGAAGAAACAGGAAGCTCGTGATGCTCAGGCGCCTCTCAGAGGAAAAGCAACTTTCTTAGTTCATTTCGCAAATCACACAGAATTTCGTACATTCAAATAAGACACGATGTAAACGATTATACAAAGTATAAATCAAAACCGCATAAATCAGTACTCCGTCTCACGCACACAGCTGGGGCCCGGTGGACGCGGCCCTGAAGTCACGTGATGAGCTGCAGTCACGTGGCTGCGTGAAGAAACAGGAAGCTCGTGATGCTCAGCGCAGCTGTTAGAACTTTATTCTTTCAAGAAGACACGCCGCGCGCTGCGTTAGGAGACGTTCACATCCAGAGGCTGAACTCGGTCCTCGTCGGTGTTTTGTCATCCGGTAAGTTTGCAGATCACAGCTGATGTGTGCACTGCTGGAGACACTGTTTGGTGCGTATTCTGTAACGTTACCCCGCCAGTCTCGACTCTTTCAGCATCTCAACATCATCAATCACACTTAATCGATACCTTTTGCTTATTGCTGTTCGTGATGTTTTATAGTGTCAGGGAAACCAAAATGAAACTTTTGTGTCATGCGTTATTCAAATGAACAAACAGCCAAAAGTATATCAGATAAAAATGATATATAATATACACGGAGGAATTGTAATAAGTTTCCTCATTAAAACAGTTTGTCCTGTAATGCAGCGGGATTCCTGTAGAAAGAGGAACCGTGGCCCAGATTTGTGTTTCCCTGTATTTCAGCATTCATTCCTTCGATTATCATGGGCTTGGTTTGCTCAGGCTCGTTTGGCTGCTATCGTTTCAGTATCCAGAGATGCTGAGCTGTTTCAGATCTCATGTGTCCGTCTGCTAGTGCTAGTGATTAGCTGTCAAAACCTGTGATCATGCATGTGATCAAAGTGAGATCACGTGGTCTACTGAACATATGCACAGTGCTTGGTAAGTGTGGCCCAAATGTAGACAAATACCACCTTTTTCCAGTCAACATCAATTATAGATGGAAAATGATGAATGTATAAGGAATGGTGTATATTTCACATACTGTAACGGGTCACCTTTTCTTTAAAGTTTTTTTTCACAATAACCTTTTAGCCTTTTAAGTTCACGTCAATGTTTCTGCGACATCATGGATTAAATTATTATAAGGTCACGTATTCCATGTAGTCTCTCAATTAAAAGGAGCTCAGCATAACTCCATACAATTCTATTTCAATTCAACAAAAAAATTATTTCGGTCACTTTTTCACTGAATTTTTGAATTCAGTGAATTCAATGAAAATGTGATAATACAAGATAAACAAAAAGACATTTCCTAAAATGTACACAAACATACATAATTACAAAAGTACACATTTCAGATATTATTACAATAGTTTAAGTATTACAAACACAAATTATTCATATTGAGTTATATAATTATTTATCACCTAGTTTTTAAACATTTTCTTAAATGTACGAAGTGAATTACATCATTTTAATTCCTTATCACAATTATTCCATAGGTTTTGAAAGATATACATCTATTTTTTTATATTAGTTCTTGCCCTTATATTTATTTATTATTTTAAACATGGGCTATACATTCCTCTTAGTTTATACTGTCTTTCTCTTATTGCGAACAACCTCTGGATACAATTTGGAAGTATATTATTATATACTTCATACATTATCTGTGTGTGCTGTGCACTAGAGAAATCAACAAATTTCAAAGCATGTAATTTAATAAACAATTTGTTTGTTGGGTCGTAATAGTCAAATCGTTTTACAATCCTTATTGCTGTGTTTTGTAACATATATATATATATATATATTGAATTTATATTGGATCAATACATATGCATATACATGATAATGATACAAAAATAGGTTTTGTTTAAAGTATATTAAATAGATTGTTAAAAACATTGATGTAGTTTGACATTGCCCGTGTAACCCTGTGATTTTTACAGTCATCTTCTGCTTTACTGTAGGGGATTTTAAGAAGCATGACAAGTCCCTCAGAGAGGAACACACACTCATGCTCACACGCTTTCTGACTCAAAGCAGAAGAGGAAGTGCCATGTCTGTTAACACAGGAATCGTCCTAGTGTGTCTCAGAAGAAGCCATTAATGCGGTTTGATTGAGATCTGTGTGTGTTTCAGGTCATGGGCTCTCTGTTCCGCAGTGAAGAGGTCTGTCTGGTACAGCTCTTCCTCCAGTCGGGATCGGCCTACAACTGTGTCAGTGAACTGGGAGAGCTGGGAATCGTGGAGTTCAGAGACGTGAGAGAATCTCTGCTCTCTTTTATTGTTGTTCTTGAGGAACCCTGTGCTTCGTTTACATGTTTTTAACGTGCCTTTGCCTTACATTGGCTTTGTCACAAAGAGGATAATGACACATCTTTGTCTGAAATCTTCATCTCAGCTGAATCCAAATGTGAACGCGTTCCAGAGGAAGTTTGTGAACGAAGTGAGGAGATGTGAGGATCTGGAGAAAACCTTTGGTGAGTCTGTCACTCCTCAACTCCCATGATCCTGCGCTCCTTCTGATACAAAAATAGGTTTTGTTTAAAGTATATTAAATAGATTGTTAAAAACATTGATGTAGTTTGACATTGCCCGTGTAACCCTGTGATTTTACAGTCATCTTCTGCTTTACTGTAGGGGATTTTAAGAAGCATGACAAGTCCCTCAGAGAGGAACACACACTCATGCTCACACGCTTTCTGACTCAAAGCAGAAGAGGAAGTGCCATGTCTGTTAACACAGGAATCGTCCTAGTGTGTCTCAGAAGAAGCCATTAATGCGGTTTGATTGAGATCTGTGTGTGTTTCAGGTCATGGGCTCTCTGTTCCGCAGTGAAGAGGTCTGTCTGGTACAGCTCTTCCTCCAGTCGGGATCGGCCTACAACTGTGTCAGTGAACTGGGAGAGCTGGGAATCGTGGAGTTCAGAGACGTGAGAGAATCTCTGCTCTCTTTTATTGTTGTTCTTGAGGAACCCTGTGCTTCGTTTACATGTTTTTAACGTGCCTTTGCCTTACATTGGCTTTGTCACAAAGAGGATAATGACACATCTTTGTCTGAAATCTTCATCTCAGCTGAATCCAAATGTGAACGCGTTCCAGAGGAAGTTTGTGAACGAAGTGAGGAGATGTGAGGATCTGGAGAAAACCTTTGGTGAGTCTGTCACTCCTCAACTCCCATGATCCTGCGCTCCTTCTTTCTGTTCATTAGAGCCCGACCGATATGTTTTTTTTTTGGGACCGATATTAGGGATTAAAAACCTGATATCGATATATCGGCCGATATTCTTTGTGTATATTATAGTACAATACCAGTCAAAAGTTTGGACACTTTCCCATTCGAGGGTCCAAACATTTGACTGGTACTATATATAGAATACAGTATATAGATAAACAGAATATATATACATAAACACATTTTTTGCAATGATCACTCAAATGTGGTGATGAAACACTTATAATGACCTGACAAAGATATGTAATGATGGAGGCAGGGCGTTTAACAATTTAACAATACACTTTATTATCCAAAATGAGTCTGATATCAGTGCACTGAACAGTAAAGTTGAATTTATTCAACTTTAATTCAATTAAATTACATTCAACTTTATTCCGTTGAAGTTTATTTCACTTTGGAACATTCGTTCACGAATTTGCGCTACTGTCTTCACACACAGACGAAACTTACTAGAGAAGTGTGAAGTGTGACATAATATACCTCTGTAAATAAATATAAATTCACATCTTGCGCACTTTAATGCCCTTTGAATGTAACGTGTGCGTTCCCTTGGAACTGGAATCATGGCGGAATATCATGTGAAGTCCACTTCGCAGGGCTCTTACGGTCGAATAAGACCACGCTTATTCAGTTTGTTGTCAGCTGATGTCATTTAGTCTATGCATCTGTAAAATCAAATGTTAAACAATAGCCAAATGTCTGTGTAGTTTGTGGCTGTTTCTTTTCTAAAATGTGTGTCAGTAGGTAATGCAGTAATTTATTGCTGATTAATGTAAATGCAAATAAGATTACACCAATAATAGCAATAGTGATAGATTTGGAGAAAAAGCCTTCCCATGTCAAGATTAGTGCTGGGACTTTAAAAAAAAAAAATTTTGAGCGGTACTGTGTGTGTATATATATATATATATATATATATTAGGGCTGGTAATTTAACGCGTTAATAGCAATAGTGATAGATATATATATATATATAACAATTACTTTACATTATAATATCTCACAATTTTACTGTATTTGTGATCAAATAGATGCAGCCTTGGTGAGAATAAGAGACTTATTATAGACATAATTCACCCAAAAATGAAAATTTGCTCTTAATTTATTAACCCTCAGGCCATTCATGTAGGTTTTTTCTTCAGTAAAACAGTAAAGCATATCAAGGAACACAAAATTAATACCCTCCTGATGGCTCCTCCAGACGATATATTGAGGTCATATGAAGCGAAACAATCGGTCTGTGCAAGAAGCTGAACATTTATTTACATTATTAACTGTAATCCAGTTCGTGATTGCGAAATCACACAATGACGTAATGTATTCGCAATTCCCGTATATCAATAAAGCACCCTATAATGATGTGAAACATGGACGTTTTACATGTCTAAAGTGTATAAAGTGAATAAACTTGTCTTCATCAGCTCACCTTTTTACATAAACAGTGCCGTTTTATGTTGACTTGAAGGTTTTTAAACAGTCCCTTTCTTGGTTCCAGTGCTTTTGGAGCAGGAGATCGTTCGCAGTCTCTCTCAGACCCTGCAGCCCCCCATCCCGACCCCTCCGGCCCCTCAGCCCAGAGACCTCCTCACCATTGAGGAGGAGAGTGAGCGCTTGGCCCAGGAGCTCCGGGAGGTTTGTAACTTTGTTTCCACGCGAATGTGTTTTATGTCTGCTTGTGGTTAAAAACTACATGAAATCAAAAGTGACCCTATTTGCTTTCTTAAAGGGATAGTTCACCCAAAATGAAAACCCTGTAACCGTTGTTGTTCCAAACCTGTATGAAGTTCTTTCTTCTGCTGAACACAGACGACATTTTGAATAATATGGGTGACCAAACAGTTACTTTTAGTTACATTTAGTCATTTAGCAGACGCTTTTATCCAAAGCGACTTACAAATGAGGACAATGGAAGCAATCAAAATCAACAAAAGAGCTGATTACCAACATTCTTCAAAATGTCTTCATTTTTGTTTGATGGAAAAAAGAAACTCGTACAGATTTGGAATAACTTGAGGATGAATGAATGATGGAAATTTTCATTTGTGACCCTGGAGCACAAAACCAGTCTTAAGTGTCAATTTTTCGAAATTGAGATGTATACATAATCTGAAAGCTGAATAAATAAGCTCTCCATTGATGTGTGGTTTGTTAGGATAGGACAATATTTGGCCGAGATACAACTATTTGAAAATCTGGAATCTGAGGGTGCAAAAAAATCACAATACTAAGAAAATCATTATAGTTGTTCAAATGAAGTTCTTAGCAATGCATATTACTAATCAAAAATTAAGTTTTGATATATTTACGGTAGCAAATTTACAAAATATCTTCATGGAACATGATCTTTACTTAATATCCTAATGATTTTTGGCATAAAAGAAAAATCAATCATTTTGACCCATACAATGTATTGTTGGCTATTGCTACAAATATACCCCAGCGACTTAACACTGCTTTTGTTCTCCAGGGACACATTTTGGGTGAATATCCCTTTAACTGTAAATGTCTTTCCAGTGCTTTCCTGTACCAATGTCTAGTCACATTTCCCTGTTAATGCATCACAGTAGTGTTGTTTATCTAATAAGTATTGCAGAAATAGTTTCTAACGCTGTCAGTTTGTGCAGGTGTCCAGGAACAGAGACAGTCTGCGGTCTCAGTATACTCAGCTGTGTCAGTACAGAGGGGTTTTAAAGCAGACTCATTCACTCACGGCCTCACAGGTAGGAACTGCACTTTACTGTCACAGTAGATCCACTTAAGCGTCAGTCAGTCTGGTTCATGTGTGCACGTGTTTGTGCGTCATAGGCCCCGCTGGTGTCGTTCGAGCCGGTGGCTCAGGCGGAGAACCGTCAGGACGTCAGGCTGAGCTTTGTGGCCGGCGTGGTTCATCCGTGGAAAGTGCCCGCCTTCGAGAGGCTGCTGTGGCGTGCTTGTCGTGGTTACATCATTGTGGACTTTCATGAGATGGAAGAAAAACTTGAACATCCTGATTCTGTGAGGCCTAAATCATTAAGAAATATTAAGCTCTTGTATAACCAAATGATGATTACATGTTAAGTTGGGTTGCATGTACAAGATTTTAGTGTTTTATTAGATTGTAGGAACATATACAGATTTTTTTAAAGCTGCTGAGAGATTTTGGACGTTTTTTCTTCTCAGGGTGAGGAGGTGCAATGGACTGTGTTTTTAATCTCGTTCTGGGGAGATCAGATCGGTCAGAAAGTGAAGAAGATCTGTGACTGGTAGGTGATCTGGATCGGGTCGGGGTTCCCACAGTCCTGAAAAACCTGGACCTTTAAACGGTGTGATTTTCCAGGCTGAAGATCTAGTCATGGAAATTAATAAGTTCTTAAAAAGGTTATGGAAAAGTCATAGAAATTTCTTCAGTTTATTTGTGACCCTGGAGCACAAAACCAGTCATAAGGGTCAATTTTTTTCGAAATTGAGATGTATACATCATCTGAAAGCTGAATAAATAAGCTTTCCATTGATGTATGGTTTGTTAGGATAGAACAATATTTGGCAGAGATACAACTATTTGAAAATCTGGAATCTGAGGGTGCAAAAAAATCAAAATATTGAAAAAAATCTTTAAAGTTGTCCAAATGAAGTTCTTAGCAATGCATATTACCCGGTACTAATAAAAAATTAAGTTTTGATATATTTACGGTGGGAAATTTACACAATATCTTCATGCAACACGATCTTTACTTAATGATTTTTGGCATAAAAGAAAAATCTATAATTTTGACCCTTACAATGTATTTTTAGCAATGTACTTTTGTGCTCCAGGGTCACATATAATAATGACCTAGACTTGTAAGTTCATTCGATAAAGGTGGTATCAAAAGTTCGTAGACGGTACATCTGGCAAAATCACACTTAACAAGAGCAAGGCGCAATATATATCGAAACCATTTGGAAAAACTCAAATGTTCTGTGTAGAAGTAGTTAAATATGCGCTGGACTATTGTATCGTGCAAAAATCAATTTGTGAACGGGTGAAATGTGCAGATTCCTTTTGATTCAGTTTTCTGCTATGTTTGCACGCAGCTTCCACACACAAACCTTCCCCTACCCTGAGAACCAGGCAGAGAGAGAGGAGACTCTTAACGGACTCCGAGGAAGACTCGAGGACATCAAATCAGTACGTCTAATCAATCACAGTCAACACACCTTTCATTTTTTTCCACTTCCACTTTGCAAACATTTGAAACTCCTAATACATAGATGATAGGATGTT